AGCAGAACTTTTTTCTACCCTTTTATTTTTGGTTTCTTTCCGACGTTTGTTTTTTTTTTTTTCCCTGTGTGTATTAGGTTTTAGTACACAATGAATAGAAGACTCCCCAAGTATGTACCTATTTATACCTTGGAAAAAACAATCAACTTTAGGCATTACAAAAGTGAAATTGCAATCTTAGAGAATCCCTTCAAACTATTTATGGCAAGAAGAAATGTGAAAAGAAAAAGGGGTGACATGGTAATATTAGTCTCCACACATTTATCCTAAATGGCAAGAGAGGTCCCCTTGCATGAGCCGAACTAATGGAGGATGGCTGTATATCGCATTCCCGCACGTGCTAGAATCAGTTCATGCACACTCTTATGTTGCATTTTCACGTGTAAATAAAAAGGGGAACCTCATGCTTTATCACCTCAAAAGTGAATTACTAGGGTTTAATTTGTATGATCACAAAGGGCACATTATAGATATCATTATTATTGCCTCTATAATCGTTATGAATGACCATTTTATGTTTTATCTAACTTTTTTCATATATGTAGGGACATCATAGTGATTAATGTCACTTAATAAACTGTGAACATCTCGATATATAAATGAAATAATTAGCCAAAAAATTATTATTACACTATGTTTATGGTGGGTTTCGAGACCGTGCAAGTCATGATGGCTGAGTCGTCATTATTCAACCACAACCTCAGCTCGTTTAGTTTATGAATGATTCCTTTGTACAGGAGGAGAAGCCTCTGGAATTATTGAAAGCAAATCTGGGCACGAGCCTATGTACACAGGTTTTAAACCGGAAGTACGACAAGCGAGACCACCATTTCAAGATAACGGAAGTAGTTTTGTTAGTAGTTTGTCGGAGAGGAACATGCTATTTCATTTTTATTTGACGACCATAAATGTATGAGTATAAATTAGAGAGAGCACAATTATATAACAGGAAACTAGGTTTTCTCCGGTGCCTTACAATGTATATCGAATTATAGACACTCCAAAGTGATACATTCAATATTACTATAGAAATGTTTGTATCTGGAAAAAAAATATTTTGTATTTGGCCCGATATATTTTAGAAATGTTTGAAAAATTTAGAAATGTTTTATGAGTGTGATCATAGAAATGTTTGTATTTGGCATAAAAAGAAATTGTATTTAACCCGGTACGTTTTAGAAATGTTTGAGTATTTTAGAAATGTTTTATAAGTTTTTCTTCTTAAATATAAATAATCTTGATCAAATATATGTCTTGAATTAAATGCTAGACAAAATATAAAAGCATCCTAATAAGTTTAAATATTAGTAAGATAATTTATTGATGTTATCCGGTTGTGCCAAATCAATACTTAGTTTTGGAGATTTATAATAGCTTTGTAGTAAGCTTCCTCAAAAGGGTATATGCTTAATTGTTGAAACTATTTCTTCCAAAAGTTTATAAGCAGTAAAATATCAAAAATATGATTTTGAAACTGGTTAATTGATGAAATTGGTTGATCACAAATATAAGAATGAAAATAATGTAAATTTGCATAGGTTTCAAGTTATACCAAAAAAGAACTTACCTCACCATGGCAAATAAAAAAAAAAAGTAAAAGATAGCCCATTTAAAATTGAGAAATTTATTTTTTTTTCTGTAGGTAAAAATGTTGTAATAAAAATACAAATAAACGTAGAAACATCATTCTTTCCCTCTCCGCCTCAAATTCATAAAAGGCTTCCCCAGAAATTAGTTAGAAGAAGCGACCTGAACTATTTAGATGATTAGAAACTAAAAAAAGTCCAAAAATCAAAATTCAAAAAGTATATTCTTGAAAGCCCGAATTCAAAAAAAAACGCGCTTTATTTGTAAATAAAACATAATAATAATAATAACAATAATAATAATAATAATAATAATTAGTCAACTGGGAGTATGAAACAAAATAAAAACAATTAAACAAAGAAAAAACACACTTCGTAACTGACCATATACGAAAAAAAAACTGAGATCCATAATTAAAAAAAGAAAACCACTCTAATTGAATGAAACATTAAAAAGAAATTTAAAAAACAACACTTTGTAACAAAAACTGAATTAATCAATTCAATCCAAACAGAACTAAAATCATACAAAACTTCTAGGCTAACTAACTATATAAGAAATCACATCATATTACCTGACAATGGCAATGGTAGCTATAACGGATGGACGCATAAAAATAATAGTAATAATACTATTCTTGAACGGGAAAAACAAAAAATAATAAAAGCCAAAGAAATGATCTGTGGAAATAAAATCATTTAATTTTAATACCTGTAATTACATCACCACAACGGCCGAAGCAAGATCAATGAGAATTTTTTTTTTCCTTTGTGTTTATATAGAAAGGTAAAGAGAATATTTTTTGAAGTCGAAATTTTATCCGATTAAGATGTAGTTGATCATCACTAATGAAAAGATTGAACATGCTAATAGGAAATGAGTATATTTCACCACATATTCTCAATTGATGATTGATGAGGAATTTGTTTTTTTTTTTTTTATTGTGGAGAAGTGATTGATTACGGAGTCGATTGTCGTGAAGATGGGGATGAGTATTTGGGTTTTTTATGAACCCGTCTTTTTTTTCGGCAAAAATAGGAGGTGGAGGTGGATTTAGACTGCATTTGCCTTTTAAGTTTAGGAGATGTGAAAATAAAAATTTATTTTAAAAATATGATGTGGAAATGCCACATGGCAAATTGTAGTGCTTTCTCTTCAGTGTGGTTTTGTTTCTAATATAGTAAGATATATATCCTACTATATTAGAAACAAAAACCTCCCTTTCAAACACCTCATATGATTGCCACGTGACATGTAGAAAATACTAAATTGCCCTTTTGTTTAACCATAACTAAATTACTAAATCTCCCTTTGCACTTTACGTGACACGTTTTTTTTTAAAATTTTTTCTTTATGTTTCATTCAACTAGAGTGGTTTTTTAAATTGAATTGATCAATTAGGTTTTTTGTTACAAAGTGTCAATTTTGTTTTAAGCGTATACCCTTTGGATGAAACTTATTACAAAGCTATTAAAACTCTCCAAAACTAAGTATTGATTTGGCACGACCAATGGAGAACATCAATAAATCATCTTACTAATATTTAAATTTATTAGGATGCTTTTATATTTTATCTAACATTTAGTTCAACACATATATTCGATTAAGTTATTTATATTTAATAAGTAACACTTATAAAACATTTCTAAAACATACATGGCGAAATACAATTTATTTTTTTTTTTTGCGAAATACAAATATTTCTATGATCACACTTATAAAACATTTCTAAATCCTTCAAACATTTCTAAAATATATCGCTCCAAATACAAAATTTTATTTTTTTCAAATATAAACATTTTTAAGATCTACAAATAGACTGTGCCAGGGTCGTGCATTGCGCGACCAGACATCACTAGTATATATATATATAGAGAGAGAGGGGGTTTGCTAGAGCATGCTCACAATGCGTTTCGAATGAGGAGGTTTTTACAAGGATTACGAAGAAAGAAGTCGTTTACCCAAAAAAAAGAAAGATGACACCTACGCTTGAGTGGCGGCTCCAAGACACCACAGTTTAATCAAAATTCAATTGGTTAACCACTGGGTGATATTTTGGGCCATTGATTTGGTGGCAGAGCATGATAAATCTGACCCTTAATTTGTGGCGGCTTTAAAAGATCATGTTGCACAAAAGTAAGATAAGGCTTTGATTACAAACGAAAGGTGTGGTGTAATGAAACCCGAAAAGGCAAAAGGCAAACAAAAAAAAAACAAAAGATTGAAAAAAGAAGATAAAATTGGTTGCAATTTCACGTAAAACTAAGATTGTTAAACTTTACATAATTACATAATATTAGGTAAGGAAAAAGGATCATTACAAAAAATGCATATATAATGTGCCAACACCACATTGTTACCTCGCACATTAAATAAATGGTCTTGTTCTGATGTATCAATGCTCAACGCCATCTCTTCGATTTCTTTATTTTTCATTTTTTTGGGGGCTCCCTTTCATTCATATATGTGGGGAATCGTCATGACTGATGGCCATAGACACTCCAAAGTGATACATTCAATATTACTATTCTAGGCTTATATAGCAAGCTCACATGCTATTTTATTCTCACAACATAGAACCCAAAAAAAACCCCCAACGAATGGGTCAATTTAAGCAAAGAAGGGTTCGAAAGCTCGTATCTGAAACTACTTCTTAAGCTTCAAGAATAGTGTAACAAATACAGTGAATCCAGTGTAGAAAAAATTTGCCAGTTCACACTCCTGAGCGAGTAAGCAATGCATCGAGCTTCTCGGTCATCTCTGTCAGACGGAGTTTGACCTGACGTCTAATTTCAGTTTCTTAATTTCCCTCTTCCCGAAATCGATCTTTTTTGGAACGTTCCCCACAGAATGTTTACTCCAGTTAAGCAAGCCATTCTAGACTAAGAACTAGTATGATTTAGCGCGACAATTTTTACGCTTTGGTCTTCCGGAATTGCAAAACACAGTATCGCAATTTTGGAAAGCTTTGGTAACAGACTTCTTGTTACCCTAACCAAAAGGGTCGGATCAAAACTGTCATTCTCCATCACATTTTTTGTAGCAAACAAATTCTTAAGCAAAAAAATTCTAAAATAGTGTATTTACGCAATATTTCGTAAAACTTCGAAATATGTTAGATACTCTCTCTGTCCCAAAATTATTATCCAGTTTGAGATTTCACTTTTAGTACAATTTAAACAAAAAATGAAAACTCAAACTGGACAATAATTATGAGACGGAGAGAGTATCATTTATGAAACCCGCACACAATTAAATCACTAAAACTTTCTTCTTTGTGACATATCATAATCAATTATAAAAAGAATGACTACACACATCATATTTTCGGGAAAACATAAAATGATAATCTAATACGACGCTGACTACGGCTGTAATTCATATGATCATTGCATCTGTTGTACAGTGCGATCTTAATCACTTTTCTTCCCCATGAATTTCCTCGTCGGAATCTTGCGAAGGAAACCAGTATCCAGTTTCCGGTAATGTCCCTGAAGCTGTCTGAGAACACTATATATAAATCCATCCACCTGATCTTCGTACCTTTCATAAAGTACTGGCAGCGTGTGGGCGGCGACAAAACCTTAAGCACAAAATTTTAAACCACATGTTAACAGACTATCAAGAGCAACGGATCGATAGCGTAAGCTAATGCCAAATAAAAATACAAATGGTTGTAGAATCCAAAAAATCAGCGATTTTAAAGACAGCAATACGACGAAATCAAGCAGCAGCCAAAAAGGGTCTCTTCAGGCACAAATAGATGATTGAAACAATCAGAAAACATGTAAAAGTTACTCCCTAGTTCTTTCTCTATTGTGCCTACAAGCATTAGAAACAACATAAAAGTGATTCTATAATAACGGGTAAAGGAGGATAAATAAGGGTAACGGGCAAAAAGAAGTCAATATGAGTTACGTCATCCTCACAAATCTTAGCACGATATAACTTGCATTCAGTTTATAATTTGGAGATTCTTAACTACGTACCTAAGAACAGAATTGTCATAAAGTTGCACCAGCTTGATATAATAGCAACCGCAAACAAGCTCATTAGAACCTGAAAGAAACAAGAAAAGTTTCGAGGTAGTCCTCAGGCATTCTATCTAAAAAGTGGATTATACACTCAAACAAGGAGGACAAAGAGACCACAGAACTTTTCAAGGTAGAATCGCTACGACCGGAATAATAAAAGAACAAGATGAAGAACCTTTTGCTCCTTGAAATAAAATAGTACAAAAGATACAAGTATCAAGTCTGAACATGTAGACCAGATTGTAAACAATTTTCAAATAGGTGACCAGAACAGAAGAGGGCAAGATTTGCATACCAAAGCAATCAATCAAAAGAACTAGTTTTGAAAGAATAGGACACACAGAAATGATTCCACAGTATTTCTCTGAATAATTCAAGTAGAACAACATATTTGGCTTTTCCTCTATGATTAAGAGAAGGTCTAAAAAAATTCATGTCTGAACATGTAGACCAGATTGTAAACAATTTTCAAATAGGTGACCAGAACAGAAGAGGGCAAGATTTGCATACCAAAGCAATCAATCAAAAGAACTAGTTTTGAAAGAATAGGACACACAGAAATGATTCCACAGTATTTATCTAAATAATTCATGTAGAACAACATATTTGGCTTTTCCTCTATGATTAAGAGAAGGTCTAAAAATGCTGTTTCCGCAAGACAACAAAATCTTGCTTAAAAATATTACCATTTGAGTTCTAGAACAGCAAAGGGAAATGACATCAAAGTGTCAACCTTGGTTTGAAAAGGAAAGGGAGGGGGATATGGCACTAACAAGAATGGCATAACTGCAGTGAAAACAATAAATTAAAGGTACCTCAGCCATGGAGCTCTGACATACTGGGATAACAAACTTTGGACAGGTTCCAGCATCAACGCTATCTAAGCTATAAAATAGTCTAAGCTAGAGACTTAACTCGAAATTTCAATAGCTATAAACTAACTTTCCAAGCTAATCAGAATGGAAGCTGGACATGTTCCTTGTGCAAAGTCTGTCCAAGCTTGTGTACACGAAATTTACAAATCCCAAATTTATCAACCTCTTAAATAACATATGCCCAAGAACACGAATTCATGATAGATAGCTTACCAACAGAAATTGCTTGAAGTCTCTTCCACATGCAACGCCCTGAAGGTAAGCAAGAAAATGATTGACCTGAAGACTAGCAGTCTTGGCTACATTGATGAACAAGTCCTCGGGAATGACAAGGCGCGGAACTTCAGAGCGTGATCTAATATCGTCATCCAAAGTCAAGTGTTAGTAAGAGTCAAGTTTATCCAAGAAAAGATCATTTATATGTTTAGAGAAGTTACCTGTTCAAAAGGCCTGAAGCATTTGACAGCACAAACTGAGCAATCATGCCAAAAATAAGGGCAAAGCATATCAAAGACAGGAAATGGTAATTGAGCCATTCAAAAAGCACCCAAACAGCAGCAGCACCAGCAAGAACCCCGGCTGAGATCTTCTTATTTCTCCATAACAGGACATCAGCAGCTGTAAACCAAGGCAGAAAGTTTTATTACGCCTATGATAGAGTTGACTATGCGGGGTAACAGTTGACACTATGCAATAAAAACACGACGACACCTTTGTCCAACTACGTGGCTCAGCTTTATGGTTCAATCTCCTATTGTGTTATATAAAAACAATAGGTGAAGAATGATCCATGTAGTGAGCCCTACATACCCTACATACTAAGATAAATGCTCAGTTGCTGTTACTGTCCTTTTGTGTGTAAAATAAATTGAACATGATCAGAGAAACTTACACTTGCCACCCCCTAAAATATGATGAACAGGTTTCTGTCGTCCAAACAATCTGTTGAACTGAGAAGAGACAGAACTTGATTGGTCTTCAAAGAATGACCCGGATTTCTGCCTTGACATGCCATCCGAAAGTGTATCCATAATATTATTTACAAGATCTTCAGCTGATATTCCCTCAGGCATTTTGATTCTGCTGTGGAATATGAACAAAGATATCATCACCAATAAAAACTATGGCAAAGAACAACATGAATCAAGATAATATACTAGATGATGCAAAATTAAAACTTTTAACTAAATACAACTCTAAGGTAAAACAAAAGATATTTCAAATGAACATGGAAAGCAGCACAGAGAATTCTGGTGAACCAATGAACATGGAAAAAATATTCAAATAAAGCATAAAAAATATAAGCTGTTATCTACTCATCCTGACCAAAAAAAGAAAAATAAAAATAAAAGGGAAGATTTCGCAATTAACAGCATAAGAAAGTGATAAAATGAAGCAGCAGTAAATAGGGAAATTGAAGAAACGAAATTTTCAAAGATGCCAAGAAGGTAGAGCATCCAGAAGCAAGAATACTTGGTTATCACATCCAAACTTGGCAAAGCGAAGAGTAATGATTGATATGTTAAAATTTTTGCACGCAGCAGATAGTATTTACAGCTTTTGTCCCATTAAACAAAAACTTTTTCCAGGCTTGGATAGCTTTTTCTTTAGACTCGTTAGCAGCAAAACAGTTCATAGTAGCAACAAAAATAATGTACTATCCTTACAGTCAGATTACTGCATTAAAGAGAAAAATTTCTTAGTTGACCAATCCCTCTGTCCTAGTGAAAATGATTAAGCTAATAACTTGAAAGTGAACAAGGAATATTAGATTAAAGGGAAAAACACACCCCTCTTTCTCTGCTGCTATGTAAGAGCTGTTAATTGATGTCAACAAATGATATAGCATGTATTCCTATAATTATTGGTCCCTCTACAGGATTATCAGAACCATCATTGCAGATTTGAGGCGCTGAAAAATGTTGGCACGGCATGGTTAAACATTAATTTTGTTGCAAACAGTAAAAGACTAATTCCCTGTTCTTCCAAGACATTCAATATCATCGTAGAAGCTTCAATAATACATCTTTAACCTTGCCAGGTTTTTTCAATGTAGCGGAAACAACGAATTTTTTTAGCTATTCTTTTTTACCATAAAATTTATCCCAGAAGTCACATTTGTTTGCATAAAACTAAAGAATTGCTATCTTAAAATCCTCCAAAGCCTTTAAGCTTCTATCCCAAAATTTCGAATCAATATGCATAAAGGTTTCACCCAAAACTGTCACCAGTTATCTCTTCTAACTAAGATCCATTATTTTTGTGTTTTAGTTGGGGGAAGGCCAGAAACACTTTCCAAGTACAGAATAAGTTCAAAAGACCATGGATTAGGCTGCTACCTTTTCAGAATAAGTGCATATCAACATCAAGGTAACTCTATCCTATAGTAAGTATAACCTGTAAAGTAGTGGCTTTTTCGGGTACACATTGCAACGGTAGTTCCGTAGCTTTCTCAAAATCAATAAGGAAAAATAAAATAAAGCTCTTCATCAACAATCAAATGGAATTACTATAGGAAACTTTGGAGCAGAACCCAAAACTACTGAAAGTCAAATTTTACATTCTATGCTTTTTAAAGTCTAAATCAATCAGCAATTGAAACTTTGCATTCCGCAGATGAAATCAGAAGGACATATTTACAAACTTTACATAACCAAGAACTTTACATAACCAGAAATAACCAATACCACAAATTTCCACAAAACTAAGGAAGAAGAGTTGCAGCAGTCTCAAGTTTGAAGTCAACACAGAAAGCATAGCGAATTAACTTCAAAGATCACAGCTACAGAAGTATAAATAAACGACAAGAAAGAGATGGGCGGGGTGGAATACTCATATGATTATCCGATAACCATGACCGATAAATTCAAGAAACGGGCAACATGGCGCAAGAAGACTATAATCCAGAAGCCAACAACAGATTTTGATAACCAAATTCGGAGTTGAAAACAACGAAAACAAGAGAATTAAGTTAATCAGAAGCATACAATGGCCCGCTTCCTCTGAAAAAGAAGAAAAACAAAACTGGGCTGCAAAATGGAGCAACAAATGGAGGAAAGCAACTAACCAAAGTTTGATGGTAACGACCCGTTGTGATGAACGTGGAGAAGACTAATCCAAATGGGTCGATGATGATAGATAGAATTTGGTAGTAGATATTTTTATTGGTATTTTTTTGAAAAAAGAAAAGAAAAAAAGAAAAAGGAAGCAACGATTGGGATAAAACGATAGGACAGAATTTTGAATTCATCCCACTAAATACGTAAATATTTTTACATATATATATATATATACATATATGTATATATACTTCCTCCGGTCCTTAATATTGGGCATTTTGATTTGTCCAAATTTCACTTAATACTCTTTTTTTTTTTGACAAAAAAACCTTAAAAATATTTCCTGACAATCAAAAGAACACAACGAATGTAACAATATATTTTTAAGATTTTTTAGTCAATTAGAAATACTAACTACATGAAACCTAAGAAAAGTCGAAATGCCTTATAATAAGTACCGGAGGGAGTATTATTTTTACTTATTTATTTTTCGTTTCAAAGTATATTTTTCATCTAATCATCATTTTTTTACTATTAAATAAAAAAAAAGTGATATACCATCATGATAAATGTAAATAACAATGGTCGACACAAACTTTTTCTTGTATTTCACAAGCCCGAAAGAGGGTATAAATACGAATACATCAAGTCATGGGGTTACCGAAAAACAAGTATAATGACATAAGTACCCTTATGTAAATTCATAACTAGGTTTACACTAACACCCCCGCGAATAGGAGCATGCGGATTCTGAATGCCTAACTTAGACAAAACCTAACTAAACTGACGTTATGTCAAAGTCTTGGTGAAGATAACCTCCAATTGAGAATGAGTATAGACAAAATGAAGGGAGATGACACCTTAAGCAAAAGCATCAAATAAAAAACGACAGTCGACCAAAATGTGCTTAGTACGTTCGTGACAAACAGGATTGGCCACAAGATGCAAGACGGACTAATTATCATAATGAAGGCGCATAGGCTAAGAATGGGCAACATAAAGACTCAGCAAAAGAGCCTTCAACCACTTCAGCTTGCAGACAGTAAAAGCAATAGTACGATATTCGACCTCAGCAGACGAATGAGAGACAATTTGTTGTTTCTTAGTACGCCATGAAATGAGAAAATGACCAAGAGTAGTAAACCAACCAATAAGAGAACGACAAGACAATGGAGAAACTAGCCAAACCAAAGTCATACCAACCATACAACTGAAGATCACTATTAGCACGAAGCAAAATCCTTTGGCCAAGATTGGACTTCAAATATCGAACCACACGAAGTGCAACATCCTAATAAGCCTCATGAAACTGGGCTAGCATATGAACAGAATACGAAATATCAGGCGAGTAACCACCAAATGGATCAACTTGCAGGCAATCAAACTTTGATATCGTTCAGGGTCAGAGAAAAGAGGATCCTCATCTAGCGGAAGTTTATTATTCTGTTCCATAGGAAATACAACAGGTTTCCCACTCAAAAGGCCAACTTCAAAAAGAATATCCAAGACATATTTTTGTTGATAGAGATAAATGTCAGAGGACAAGCCACCTCGAGACCTAAGAAATAATTAAGGACTCAATTCTTTAAAAGCATAAATAGCGGCATGATCATTCCCACTAATAAAAGATAATCAACATACAACAAAATACCAAGAAATATAGAACCTCGATGAAATGTAATAGAGAATAATCAACCGAAAACTGGAAAAAACCACAATGCTTTAAAGCATGCGCCAACTTAGGAAACCAGCATCGAGGTACTTGATTAAGGCCATAAAGAGACCGATGGAGGCGGCACACTTGACTTGGAGCCCTAGAATGAAAACCGAGAGGAAGTTTCATGTATACCTTCTCAAGTAAATCACCATGGAGAAAAACATTGTGAACATCCATCTGATGCAAATCCCAATGCTTTCAAGGAGTAACAGCCAGAATCGTATGGACTCTCACCATTTTTGCAATAGGTGCAAACGTCTCGGTATAGTCCATCCCTTCAGCCTATTCATTTTCAACAATAACCAAACGGGCTTTACAGCATCTAACGGAATCGTCAACAAGATATTTAATTTTTAAAATCCTTTTGCAAATAATGACTCGTTTACCAGGAGGAAGGGAGGTAAGCTCCCACGTATGATTATTCTCAAAGGCATGAATTTCACTGGGGATATGGCATGGCCTCACAAAATGTGCAAGGTTCAACACCAGCAATAGAAGATGCAAAGAAAGCCCGATGACAGGATGAAAAAGATTTACAGTTTACAAATTGTGTTATAGGATAAGGGGTAGCTCAGCAGATTGACAGGTTTGGGGAAGTAGAAGTGGGGGGTATAGGGGACACAATCTAATGTGCAAAATCATGGAGACGAGTAGATCAAAGTTTAGTACGAAGTCCAGGTCCCAAGTTTTAGGAGGAGCTATAGAGGAAGGACTATTGATATCTGAACGCTCATGAACAAATAGTGATCCTGAGGGAGCCGAAATCGAAGGGTAACCAACAATGGGCACAGTAGAAGACACGTCACCAGGAACGACACTCTCATCATCATAATCATCAAGAAAAACAGAGGGACCCACTTCAGCAACACAGGATGGAGAAGTCAAAGGCACAAAGGGGGTAGTAGAATAAGGAAATTCATTATCACAAAACACAACATCCCGGGAAGCAAAAATAAGCACAATTCAATGTCACCTACTAGCCACCCTTTCTTGACCACATGATTATCCACAAAAGCACATCTGCATCCCCGAGAAGCAAACTTATCATGCCTCCTGGTTGGGTGATTTACATAGCTAATAAAACCAAAAACACTCAAGTGCTGTAAAGATGGAGTTTTGCCATATTGTATCTCAAAAGGATTTTTTTCCATTCAAAATAGAAGGAGTGCAATTGATTCAATAACCAAAAGTCAAAACACAGTTACCCCAGAATTCAATAGGTAGATTAGCTAGGAATAGCAACAGCCCCACCATGATAATATGTTGATGCTTGCGTTCAACACATCCATTTTGTAGA